CCCCCCTCCCTGCTCTCGCCGGCTCGTGGCAGAGACCGAGGCGAAACAGAGCCGAGACGTTCATTCAACGCGGATCAACCTTTCTTCTTTTTTTTTTTTAATTGCACCGACCACGGAAACCTCTGTTTTTCCGGAGCGCGCTCTTAGACGCGTCTAAAAGCTCCGGCGGGAGGGTTGGTGTCGCCCACGCGCCCCGCTGCCGCGGCGGCCTCCTCTGCGCACTCATTTTTTAAAAAATTTTTTAGAAATTCTCATTTTTTTTTTTAGAATAAAACTGCAGGGGCCGGGCAGAGCTGTGGCAGAGGCGAGAATTTGATGGGGTAAAGGTTAATGAACGTGTCCGCTCGCTCCTGGGGCGGGGCGGTTGTGGCTGTTCCCCGGGGCTGAGGTTCTCCTGCCTCTTGTCCAGGAGATTGGAATAAGAGCTCGTTTGTTTTAATTAAAAAAAAAAATGACCCGATCCCGAACTATAAAGCACCTTAATGGGGAGGTTAGAACTGAAGGGGAAGGTTGGGAGGGAAAGAAAGAGGAGGAGGGAAAGGAAAAGTCAGGGAGGGAAGAGGAGGGAAAGGAAAAGAAGGAAGGGGAAAAGGAGAAGAGGGAAGAGGAAAAGGAGAAGAGGGAAGGGGAAAAGGAGGGAAAGGAAAAGAGGGAAAGGGAAAAGGAGAAAAAGGAAAGGGAAAAGGAGGGAAAGGAGAAGAGGGAAGGGGAAAGAAGGGAAAGGAAAAGAAGGAAGGGGAAAGGAGGGAAGGGGGAAAGGAGAAAAAGGAAAAGAGGGAAGGGGAGAGGAGGGAAAGGAGAAGGGAAGGGGAAGGGAGGGAAAGGAAAAGAGGAGGGAAGGGAAAAGGAGAAAAAGGAAAAGAAGGAAGGGGAAAAGGAGGGAAAGGAGAAGAGGGAAGAGGAAAAGGAGAAGAGGCGGTTGTGGCTGTTCCCCGGGGCTGAGGTTCTCCTGCCTCTTGTCCAGGAGATTGGAATAAGAGCTCGTTTGTTTTAATTAAAAAAAAAAATGACCCGATCCCGAACTATAAAGCACCTTAATGGGGAGGTTAGAACTGAAGGGGAAGGTTGGGAGGGAAAGAAAGAGGAGGAGGGAAAGGAAAAGTCAGGGAGGGAAGAGGAGGGAAAGGAAAAGAAGGGGAAAAGGAGAAAAAGGAGAAGAGGGAAGAGGAAAAGGAGAAGAGGGAAGGGGAAAAGGAGGAAAAGGAGAAGAGGGAAGGGGAAAAGGAGGAAAAGGAGAAGAGGGAAGAGGAAAAGGAGAGAGGGAAGGGGAAAAGGAGGGAAAGGAAAAGAGGGAAAGGGAAAAGGAGGGAAAGGAGAAGAGGGAAGGGAAAAGGAGGGAAAGAAAAAAGGGAAGAGAAAAGGAGGGAAAGGAAAAGAGGGAAGAGGAAAAGAGGAGGGAAGGGAAAAGGAGAGGGATAAGGACGATGCGGGGCAGGTGGGAACGGCGCAGGAGAAGG